CGATGGGGGGACTCACTAAGCTTCATGCTTACAATTTTCAGTTTTGGTTTCAGGTTCCTCTTCAGCGAAAAGGAAAGAGCCGACGCTGTAGTGGCACATCATACACACACACTTTGGATGTCCACATTATGAGATGTTCTAGGATAATACTCTGACATTATTATTATTTTCATGTTTTGGGTTTTCAGACGCGAAATATGTTTTATGAAATGATATGATCGGATGATGTCTTACTACAAATATTTTACAAACCACTTATTTTAAATGAAGTTTTTGGGCGTGAAATTTGGGTCGTTACACAAGCTTAGGTATAAAACATTTTAAACGATGTAGTTTTAAACAAAACAAATCCAATTTCATTTTCTCTTAATTTTTTTAATAGAATTCTATTGAATTAAGTTCAATTATGGAATGAAAAAGATCAATTATATATATTATTATTGCAAATAATTTTTGAAGTTTATAAAGAAAATAAAAAATCAATATTTTTTAACGAATAGAACTCAAGTGTTTTGTCATTCTATTGAAAAACTACATTGTTTGGAGGGTTCTATATATAAGTTTAGGTACATGACAACCACATATTCCCTAAACCCATATATATATATATATATATATATATATATATATATATATATATATATATATATATATATATATATATATATATATATATATATATATATATATATATATATCCTAGGAAACATTGCAAGGGCGGTGATATTCACGGTCCTAGCAAATTGATCAAGAAACTAAGTTAAAGTGATTCCAAAGGAAACAAGATTTAGATTGAGAATATAATATTTTTTGATTGAGTAAAGTATGTATCATTACCTTGAAAAGATTATGAAGTTGTTAGATATAAAACCGGAAACATCTTTACTATTGTTTGTAGCAGCATGAGAGACATGTATTTTTTAAATGGAGATTAACAATAGTATTGAATTTTTCATATTTTCTACATATACATTTATTAATTATAATTTATGAGCATATATTTACACTTTATATAACATTGTAAAGGATTGTAAAGGAGTTGTTTTTGTATATTTAAGAAACGATAAGTGGTTGTATTTACCTTTTTCTAACCTAAGACATCAGTCAATGCTGTAGAGGCCATGGCTCCTTTCTCTTAAGCTAATTTTTTTTAGAATGGCATTAATCTTTAATAGGTTTTGTATGTCGACAACCAATAATCTAAATACTTCTTTTCTTTTTGATTTCATATAATTTCTAGCCCTTCACACCTTCAATAGTGCATGAAATATTTCAGTGCTTCACACCTTCAATAGTCCATGAAACACATAGGTGACTCAACTAAGTAATGTGGTCTGAGTCCAACTCGAGATTCAATAATTAGTTATTTACATTTTTGTCAAATCTTTGCAATTGTGGGAAATCTCTTTTTGGTAGTGGTCTACCCTTATAACAATTAGTAGTAGGGGAACCACCTTTTTTGTTTTGCAAGTGAGTTGCCTCCTAGATGCTAGTATTTAAACCTTTTTGTTTTCTAGAAAGGGTATGTTTATTGTTTGATTAAAACCTTGTAAGAGAGACCCATCCTCTTGAAAAAAAAATTGGAATATTATATAAATTGCTTCTGGTCTTCTTTTCTGTTATTGTTTCATTGAACTGTTGAAGGTGAGCAAGAGAAAGCTTACCAATATGATCGAGTTCAATTTCAATAACCCCTAGTAATTTTTTTCAAAACTACTCTCAATAAACCATGGAGAGTATCAACCTGATCCAACAGTTCTAATAATTCCATAAAATGCCCATCATAGTTAATGTTTTTGGAAAAATGAACCCAACTGAGAGAAAGTTATATTGTCAGCCATTGTAATTATCACTCTGTTATAAATCTGCCAGCCCATCTTACCTCTTTTACGAAATGTTAAAAATGAATAATAATTATTTTACAAGTGATAAGTATATGGTTGAAAAATAACCAACTATATTTATATAATATCTTCATCGTATAAACTCTCTTAAGTACATCATAAGATTTGAATACATGAAAAGCTCAAAACTATTCTACGAATATGCATGTATCTAGGGAGTGTAGGATTAAAAGTACATTCATTGTTGATGTGAAAAGAAATGAAACCAGGATTAAAAGTACATTCATTAGTTCGCCAAATTCAAGTAAAGAGGAAACCGACTATGTAATTACCTCTGGAATCAACGAGAACTGAGAAGTAGCAATAACAACCTTTCATAAGTGTTTTTGGTGCTTGAAAGTGAAAAACAACTTTAGGTACTATCGAAACCTTCTATGGGTATCCCATTATCTGAGAATTTAACAAATATTAAATAATTAAAAATAAGGTAATTTTTGGATTATATATATATATATATATATATATATATATATATATATATATATATATATATATATATGTTCTGGATCTAATGTAATGGGTGGTCCGACCCATTACATTAGATCCGAAATGCCTATTCCGGATGAAACATATATGTTCTGGATTGGGATTTTGAATATGAAAATTTGGAATATAATTTGAGGCGACAACTTCATTTTGGAAAGGCATGTTCCGATTCTGACATTCCGACTCGATTTCGACACGCAACTTCCATCTGCGACATGCATTGACACCCATCTCCGACATGGAAGACGAACAATATGACCCCATTATTTTATGACTATATTTGTAACATCTCCATTTTCACGGTCAGAAAAGATCGATTTTGTTTATGCTTTGTTTGAATATCAGAGTTCTTCTTTTAATAAAAATGTTGCAAAATTTGTTCCCAGAAAAACATGATAAATGTATTATCAAAACATTTCCGAAGAAATGTATTCTTTAAAAACCTTGGGATGTCATCGTCAATACATAAACATAAGTATAAACAGAACTTACATTTATTTATACCAGTGATCTACATCTCTTTTAAATCTCTCAGTGCAAAGTAGTTTCGTATCAACACCTGTGATACAAATAAGCTGGAGTGGGTCAGGTTGGGAAACTGGTGAGTACATAGGGATTTCAATCCCACAATGTTATATCATATAAATAATTTAGAGCACACAATATATATAATTTCCCCATATATATATATATATATATATATATATATATATATATATATATATATATATATTCAACTCTTACCCCACCCCGTCGATCCTCACAACGAGACTATCCATACTCTTGGACCTTAAATTTTACCTCTTACTTAACCTATACTCTCGGATCTAGTCATGCTCTTGGATTAATAGTTGTGCCTATTCCATACTCTCATATTAGGAACAAGTGTGTATATGTAAATCCATACTCCCAGATTAATGATGAATAACTATGTCCTATCCATATTCTCAGACTAAGGATGTCTGCCAACCTGTAATAGCCAGTTCACCATGCGACATGGACCATTTAGACCTAAAAAACTCACATTGTACCATTATAAAGCCAAAAAAAATAAGTTTAGGGATCAAAATGGTTATGCCATAAGATCGAAGTGATTTGGGAGAAGAATGAAAGATAGCAGCACATTTGATTTCTTTACTTGTGTGTCTTCGTGTATACCAACATCCAACAACAAAAATCGACTTTATTAGCTCTCATTCTTTTCTTCTAAAGCTGATTCACACTCTATTTGTACCCTCCCAAGAAATGGATCGTTGCTCTTCTTTCCGTCTTCACCCTCGATCGTCACACACACTCACCGAAAATCACAATCCTCTTCTCCTTCTAATCGATTCTCGTTCACAACCCCTTTCCACTATTTTCTTTGATTTGATTTCAGCTCTTCAAGAAATTAACCCCCTCATTCCTTCTTCTTTGTTCGAAATTGCACAAGCTAACTCTCCTTCTCCCTTCGAGTTGCATGTTTGATGGATGCGAGGTTAAGAATGATGTGTGGGTTTCATGAGG